GATCCTAAATTAGGACCGCAACTAGCTCGTAAACCAGATAAAATCATAACAGCAGCCGTTTTTACCTTACAGTATAAGCATAAAAACGTTAATAAAGTAACAACAAATATGTATTAAATCTATAAAGTAACAAATACATATTAATTATTACTGAAATTATTATTTCAGTCGTTCTTAATTTATTAAGCGTCTATATGCAGAGAAAAGCCAAAAATTATGGTTTTATCATTAAATGAAGATATAGCCCAAAGATACTTTGCGGGCTTTACGGCATAACCAGGTTTCAATCACCCGGGCCCCTGGGCAGTCAGTTGCCCCCCCTCCCGAGGCCCCTGTTGGCGGGTCTGACTTCAGGTGTAATAGAATGCAAAAAAGAGAAGTATATACTGTACGGATTTGGTGTTTGCTTCACCAGTGGTGTGTATTAGTTCAGTTAAAAGAATAGAACATTTATTTATTTGCTCCTTACACATGTAGGGTTTATTGAGCCTAAAGGGAAATACAAATTGAATCCTGTGTATGGAAAATGTTGTACGGTGTACACACACAATAAATTAAAAAAAAATAATGTTTCATTCTGTTTTATGTGTTGAAATATTTCTTTAAAGTGATCACCTATTTCCTTAATCCTCTGGGGTTTGTTTATAATATTTGGCTGCACACTTTTATTATTTTATCATTCCTATGGAACACATAGAAAGCTATAGGGCTGTCTTGGGTCCAGTAAAATTATGAGGAGAGAGAGAAAGACAGTGTTTTAATCAAGAGAGCCTTTGTTGTTGCTCTATGAACTAGAAAAAACTAAATGTTTTCAAGGTTTTTAAGTCAGATTTTCCTAAATTCTTTTCGCACGTACTTTGATACTGTACTTAAAAAAAACAGAACTTTGCTCATTTTTACTGCATTGATCAAAGAAGATCTTGGTTAGGGCAAGACTTTTGTGTAAAATCTGCCTTTGAGATTTATGAAGCATGCATTTTTTCTGTTTGTGGGAACTTGACAACAAAGAAGCAGAATACAGTATGGTTGGATCTAAGAAACCATTAACCATTTTATTTTAATTGAACCATAATGTTTAAAGCCTTTGTGTATAATGTCAAATTTGAACATAGATTGCTGTAAAAACATTTTTGTTTATTGTCAAAAATGGTTTCAAAATGTGTCGGAATGCTGTTCAGGCTATCAAAGTAACTGCTGGAACGGCATTCTGGTGCAGCTTGAGTACTGTATATACAGTGAATTGTATTTAACCAGCATTTACAACTATCATCACCTTAACTAACTGTATAGTAAACTGTCATTTCAGAAAAAGAAGTTTGAAATCATCATGCCTGGACAACACAAAAGTAGAAAGTTCATCTACTATGGCAACTCCGAAGAAGTAACCAAAAACATTCTTTTTCTCTGCAAACTGAATCATCAATTTAGCATGGTTATCCAGCCTAAGTTACAAGAAATGAAGAAACTGAAACTTGATGGTCAGTTCAGTATTTTATAATGTTTTTTTTTGACTCAACAATTCAACATTTATTTATTCTGAATTGTACACTACATATACTGATGTTGGCTTGGTTTTGAAAATGAAATTGTTCTTTCTTTACTTTCAAAAGTATTTATTTTCCTTTTAGTTCAGAAAAGTGAATTTTCTTATTCATCTCATAAAATTTTCTAAATTCTTGCAGATAAGAAAGTTTGGGAATGTTTACAGGTTTAAAATCTAGATATCTGGATTTAAAATGTGGCTAAAGTGCTGTTTCCCTAGTTACATATTGTTGTGGGTCATTCCCCTGTACTATCACTAAATTCTCCCATGGAAAGCTGTTGTAGAACTGACACAGTT